CTTTGATCTGCCTCAGCGTTGCAGAGGTTCTAATCTGCATCTCCAGTTCTTGGCTCCTTACAGTGCTTAATGAATATTTGTTGAATAAATGGTGATTTTTTTTTTTTTCTCCCTTAGAGCGTCATTTTCAGAATCTTTTAGGAGCTTTGCCATTCAATTTCTTTTTCGATAATTTGTATTTAAAAGTCAAGCTTCAGAATAAGAATTTACTGAGCAAAACACTTACTGTAAGGCAGGAAGGAGTAAAGTCTCTGGTGAAAATAAAGAATATTTTGTTTTCAGTTTTTGCAATAAATTTTCAATGGGTTGTCAAGGAAACTTTCTGAGGAGAAGAACTATTTGCTGGTAATAGTGTTTGCTTTGAAGTATGACTACAAAGTAATGCGGCTGGCTTTCTCCAGCCTCAGTGTTGTAGTCTTACCTCATAGAGTCATGCTTTGAATGTAAAAAGCACTCAACACTGGCTAGATTTACTAGCTAATATTTTACATTAATTGATATTTAGACATTAAATTATACTCTATGGTACAGTTTCTTTTTCATTGCTTTAACTTTGAAATGTCCCTATAAAGTTCTTTCATTTCGACTGAAACTTAATTGGATGGCCCTAGTCAGCCTTTGAAGTGAATGATTAGGTTTAGAATGGCTGGTAAACACTGCCAAGAAGTGGGAGAACTGTAGGAAGAAAGACTACATGTTGTTATTTATATACCAAGTCAGTGAAGGATTAACCCATTTTTCTACTTTTCCTTCTGGAATCTCCCTTGCAGATTAAATAGGTATGACATTACCTAAAAGTCTTTGGAGGACTTTTTTTTTTTTTTAGCTTTTTGGCTTGAATTAATAACTGTGTTTATATTTGGGTTTATTTTTTTAATCAGAAATTTTTCAAAATGTATAATTGGGCAGTTTTTGAGAAGAATGGGTATGGCAGTGATCCCCTTGATCTTTTTTATGGGAATGATTTGAGATAATAACGAAACTAAGGATAACCTTCTGGAAGGCCACTCCTCTGGAGTGTAGACTCTGAACAAGATAGTGGTGGCACTATTTAAGCTTTTAAAAAATTGCTGTGAGTTTAAAACTAGTTTTACTTTATTGAGCTGAAGTTCACATAGCATTAACCATTCTAAAGTGAGTAAGTCGGTAGCATTTAGCAACTACTGCTTCTATCTAGTTTCAAAACAGTCAGCATTCCAAAATAAAACCCTATACCCATTAAACAGTTACTCCCTATTCTTCCCTTCCTTCAGTCCCTGGCGTCCACCAGTCTCCTTTCTGTCTCTGTGTATTTACCTATTCTGCGTATTTTATATAAATGGAATTATACATTATGTGACTTTTTTTGAGTTTGGCTTTCACTTAACCATAATGGTGTCACGGTTCATCCACTGTGTAACATTTATCAGAATGTTATTTCTCTTTATGACTGAAAACTAATCCTTTTATGTACATGCCACATTTTGTTTATCCCGTCATGCATTGGTGGACATTTGAGTTATTTCTCCTGTTTGGTTATTATGAATAATACTGCCATGAGCATTTGTGTCTGAGGGTTAGAGTACCTGTTTTCAGTTCAGTTCTTTGGGGTGTGGTATATACTTGGGAGCAGAATTGCTAGATCAGATGGTAATTTCATGTTTAACTTTTGGAGGAACCACCTGTTTTCTGCAGTGCCTAAACTGTTTTACATTCCTACCAGCAGTGTATGAAGATTCCAGTTTCTCTGCATCCTTGTCAGTACTTGTTATTTTAAAAATTATAACCATTCTAGAAGGTGTAAAGTGGTATCTCGTGATGGGTTTACTTTGTACTTTTCTAGTGACTAATGATGTTGATCACATCTTTTCATGTGCTTGTCAGCTCTTTGTATATCTTCTTTGGAGAAATGCTGTTGGTCATTTTTTCCTTGAGTTGTAAGAGTTGCTTATATATTTTGGATACCAGACCCTTATCAGATAATTTCCAAGAATTTTCTCCCATTCTGTAGATCATCTTTTCACATTTTTGATAATGTCCTTTGATGCACAGAAGATTGTAATTTTGATGATGTCTAACTCATTCATTTTTTGTTTTGTATCTCAGGTTTTTGTTGTCATGTCTTAAGAATTTGGCCTATCTTAGCAATCCAGGATCATTAAGCTTTACCCTGTTTATAGATTTAGCTCTTAGGTTTAAGTTCCATTTGGAGTTAATTTTTGTATATGATGTGAAGTAGGAGTCCAGTGAGGACTCTTATTTTAAAGCATAATTTTGTGAAACTGCCACATTGTACTTCCTTCCTTCTTTCTTCCATCCTCCTGTCCTCGTATCCTCCTGTCCTACCTTCCTTCTTATTTTGGCCATGCTGCTGGGCTTGCAGAATCTTCGTTACCTGACCAGGGATTGAACCTGAGCCCTAACCACTGGGCCACCAGGGAATTGCCTCACGTTGTACTTTTAACACCTTTGATTAAACATACATACACACCAACCAAGAACTATTACGGATTTTCTTTTCTTTTTTCTTTTTTGGCTGTTTCTTGGCAGCCCTTGGGATCTTAATTCCCGAACTAGGGATCAAACCTGCGCCCCCTGCAGTGGAAGTGCAGAGTCTTAACCACTAGACTGCCAGAGACGTCCCAATTTTATATTATTTTAAGTTATTCCGTGTTGTATTAATCAAAGTGGAGTTTATATGCATTAAAATAAATGGTGCTTGTAAATTTAAGACAGTATTTTCTTGGTCCATGGGCTGTATAGTGGTGACTGTATATGGATTCATGGATTTCCCTCTTATCTTGTGATCCCGTCTTAGTCTGCAGATCATGGATTTTGTAGAGGAGCATCAGGAGAATCTTATCATGACAAGAAGAAAGGGATTAAAGATGAAGAAAAAGGTAGTTTCCAAGGGCTGATGGTTGCAGAGAACTTAAATGGGAGAGGACTGGAGGCAAGTTAACTGGCAGTCAGTCACAGGACCCATGAGGGCCAGAGAGGAAGGAGTGGTTTCTTTCAGGCAGGAAAGGTGACTGCAGAGTAGAAGTTAAGTACTGGGGTGTGGAAGGGTAGATAGGGAATATAGTTTGGAATAGAGCCTGAGGCTCGGAAGACATCATCAGAAGTGATTGTTTAGGGAGCAGTTGAGGATTCCTTTAGTTCTGGAAATAATACCAACCCAACTCCATCTCCAAATGAGGAGTAAAGCTAACTGTTTAACACCTGTCCTGGAGAGGTTAAGGGAAAGGAACTAGGGAAGTTCTAGATTTTATTTTAACCATGATTAGAATTCTGGTTAAGTTTGAATTAGTAACCTGTGTTCTATATCAATATTTTGTGTTTGTTTGGTTTCTTTTCACTTCTGTTTTAAAAAATTAGTTTTATTGGAGTGTAGTTGGTGTGCCGTGCTGCCTTAGTTTCCGCTGCAGAGCATGGGGACTCGGTTACCCGTGTGTCTGTTCCTTCCCTTGTGGTTTGTCACAGGGTACTGCATATAGTTTCCTGTGCTGTGCAGGAGCTTGTTGTTTACGTTTGCTAATCCCAAACTCCTAATCCTTCCCTTCCACACCATGACCTCCCCACCCCCCCACCACCACGAGTCTGTTTTCTGTGTCTGTGAGTCTGTTTCTGATAGGTTCATTTTTGTCATATTTTAGATTCCACATACAAGTGATATCATATGGTATTTGTCTTCCTTTTTTGACTTACTTCACTTCGTATGATAATCTTCGGGTCCATCCATGTCACACAAATGACATCACTTCATTCTGTTTTTAGGACTGAATAACATTCCACTATATGCACGTATATGTGTATACACGTGCACACACACCCTGCATCTTCTTTACCCGTTCATCTGTTGATGGACATTTAGGTTGTTTCTGTCTTGGCTAATGTAAATAGTGTTGCTGTGAACATAGGGGTGTGTGTCTTTTCGAAGTGTAGTTTTGTCTGAGTATATGCCCAAGAGATGGATTGCTGGATTATAATATGGCAACACTACTTTTAGTTTTTTAAGGAGCCTCCATACTGTTTTCCCTAGTGGCTGCCCTCATTTACATTCCCACCCAGTCGTGTAGGAGAGTTCCCTTTTCTCCACATCCTCTTCAGCATTCATTTATTTATTATTAAATTGTTTTTGGTTGCGCCAGGTCTTTGTTGCTGCCTACAGTCTTTCTCCAGTTGCAGGACACGGGGGCTACTCTCCACTTGTGGTGTGTGGACTTCTCATTGTAGTGACTTCTCTTGGTGCCAGGCGCATGCTCTAGAGCGCAAGGGCTTCAGTAGTTGTGGCGCATGGGCTTAGTTGCTCCTTGGCGTGTGGAATCTTCCCGGATCAGGGATCAAACCCAGGTCTCTTTACTGAGCCAGCAAGGAAGCCCTATTTGTAGACATTTTAGTGATGACCATTAAGTGTCATTTCTTGATAAAAAGTTTCCTAGTAAAAGAATTCCAGTTTTACCTCAGCTGAAAGCATGACAACAAGAAATCTTCCTAGGCCTCATGTTGGTGAGAGAATCAGGTTCTCAGCGCATGTTTAGAGCTTCGGGTTATGTGTAGTGTCGGCCTGTGGCCGTCAGATGGAGCGGGAACTGGGAGACACAGGAGTGAGAATCTCGCAGGGAAGGTTGGGACTGTGGGGCCAGGGCCAGCTCTTCACAGTGCTCACAAGCTCATCAGTGCATCAGTGACAGTCTCTGTTTGGTTTTGTTTGGAGTGTTTTTGTCAGTTGCATGTTCAAAGGGCTAAAGAGAAAGGAACAAAGGAAAGGATCTAGAGGACAAGTGACTGAGAATCTGAGGGGTACATCTAATGGCCACTGGTTCAGATGCCCTTCTGCTGTTATTAGACAGGTTGTCTGCTTTTTCAGACAGAAACGGAAACTACCTTACAAGTGATTTGGAGAGGTATCAACAAAGAATGGGTCCCAGGTACTTTTATTTATGTGGCGTTTAAACTCTGAACTTGTATGAGTGTGTCTTTTTGAGTGTTTAACGGCCCGTATGACCTCTGACTTTCAGGTGCTACTTGTGAGCAGCAGTCGTCATCCAGACCGGTGGATCGTCCCTGGAGGGGGCATGGAGCCCGAGGAGGAGCCGGGCGTGGCCGCAGTCCGTGAAGTCTGTGAGGAGGTACGCGCTGAGAGCGGTGTGGCCACACCGCGCACCCACCACGGGCCTGTAGTTCTTCACTTTATCCCTGCTCGCTGTGTGAACGGACTCAGGGGCGCAGAGAGAAGGTGCTCAGCACTCACCACATGCCTCCTTGATCAGAGAGGTAGTGAGGTTGTGACATGGTGGTGTCTACCAGGCTCTCTCTGCAAGGGGCGATCATAGTAGTGAATGTGCGCAATTATACTAGACAGTTCTTTCTGATTGCCCTTGGATCTCTGCCTGCTCTACCTCTGTTTCCTGTGGCAGAAGGTTGAGAATCAGATGGTTCATCAGCCCTAAGAAGTAAGAGAAGTAGGCAGCATTGATGTAAGCAACTTATTCCCGTTAACCTTTGCTTGAGGCGAAGGTAGCACTTGTTCTTTGCTCCTGGGTCCTGGTAGCAGAGCACTGGCAAAGCAGAAGTTCCGTTTGCCGGAAGCTGTTACAGGTGCAGCTTGAGAGACAGTAGTATCTTGTTTTTTATTTGGTCACATGATACTCACCATATATGTTTTGAGTTCTTGAGTCATGCCCAGTGTATCTTACTGGATACTCTAGAATTAACAGTCAGAAGGCAGATCTTGGTGCTCTTATTTCAAGGGCTTACAGTTTTGTTGGTGAAACTGAGAAACAAATTGCAGTTCAAAACCAGGAGGAAGGAACTAATGTTTCTCCATAGCTTCTTGTGGCAACACAACACCTGCTCTGCTTACGTTATCTTGTCTAGGAGTCCTGACTCAGTGATGTGAGTTTTACCAGCCCCATTGACTTGCCTTGGCCACATAGTGCTTTTTATAGGTCCATTTCCATGTTCCAGAAGGGTCTTAAGACTGATTCTAAGAACCTATAAAATAGAGCTTAGAAAAGGTCTGAGTTCTGCATTTCTTTTGAGTCCAACCCTTGCTGTTCTTCTTAAACTAATTTTACTTTAGAATACTCAAGGAATCTTTCCTTGCTCTGAAGTCCTGCAGAGTTATGTTGGCTCGTGACACTCTGATTTTATCATATATCTGAGTATCTTTAACTATATTGTAACCTCTGAGGACTAAGATCATGTTTCCTATTTTAAATCCTCCCTTCTTGTGCCTAGTACACAGCTGGATGAATAGAAAGTAATTAATACAAGCGTCTATGACAAATGGAACATAAAAATCCTGAAGAAATATCCCAGTTGGAAATTACCAGAGTTCTTTCTGGAGGATCTCAAAGGTTTGACTATTCAAATAAAGTGTGGTAGGGCCAGCTGGTGAATCTAAGCTACATAGTTTTGGTTTCAATCCAGTTGGCTCCTGTGGGTTCCGAGGCACCCACCCAAGGCAAAAGTGATGTTTGACAGAGTTATTGCAGCTCTGTAGGTTGTTGGAAGACATGAAGTAGACTATGGCTCTAGAATAGAGAGGAAGAAAAAAATTCCAAGACCTTGGGCAAACCTTGCTACTTGGTTTTAGAAGTTGTGGGGAGACGAGTTGACAGCTTTACCTCTGTAGAGCACATTTGGATTTGGCATCTTTCTCAGGAAAGGTTGTATTAGTTGCTACTGTGGTTGTTTTGTTTCTGAGTACCATGGTTGAAATGTCCCTCGGTTATACAAGTGCAACTAAGTGTAGAAAACTAGATGATTGCAAAAGGAAATGCAGTGAGGGAGTTGGAAAGGATATACAGTACCCTTTTGTTTTCTGGAGATTGCATACCAGCCTTCAGTAGGTAAAGGAGGGAGAGAGTGGAGGATAAAGTGGAGTTGGGGAGCTAGAAGGTAAACAGTGTAGTGCAGATAATTAAACTATACTTTTCATATGTTCATCACTTACCTACCTCCTGGCTTGAAGGGAATCCCAAACTCGAAATTAAACCCTGATTGCCGTTCTCAGCCCTGAAGAATCCTGCCTGACCTTGAGCAGATTTTCCCTCCAGGCAAAAGAGTCATGCCACGCCCTGTTCCTTACTCCAGTGTTGCTGAGGGTGAAGAGCAAGTGTGTGAGTCGCTCAGTCGCGTCCGACTCTGCAACACCATGGCCTGCAGCCCACCAGGCTCCTCTGTCCATGGGACTCTCCAGGCAAGAACACTGGAGTGGGTAGCTACTTCCTTCTCCAAGCGCCCTTCCTGATCCAGGCATTGAACCCGGGTCTCCTGCATTGCAGGCAGATTCTTTACCATCTGAGCCACCAGGGAAGCCCATAAATAAAATAAAGTACCAAATAAATAAAACAGTGAATATAAATTAGTGAAACGTATCATTACAGAGACAGACATTTCAGTGGCTTACGTCAAAATAAAATGGAGGGACTGACTTTTCCAATTCTATGTTTGCTAACAGAGAATAAAACTTGGAATCAGTGAGGATGTAGGTAGATGTTTTTGATTGTTCTTGAAGGGTAGTTTTGTAAGGAGAAATCACTATTCAGGGATTTATTTAGTTTTCAAAATGTCATGACTTTGTAAAAGCAAACATTCAAAAACTTAGTTCTTTCCTAATGCTTATAAATCTGATTGCTGTCTTATAACCATAGGAGATTTTACTAGTCATTTTTAAGGGGCATTTGGATAATACCTAGGCCAGTTCATTGAAAACTTTCAGATGTTTCAGATTGCATTTATAAATTTAATTAACTGGATTGCTTTTTAAAGTTGTCTGACTTAAAAAAAAATGAAAATCTTATGAGGTTCCTCATCAGTAAAGTCCTGTGAATGTCATGTATTAAACTTACAGCTAAGATAAGATGAGTCTTAAATAGTGCCACAGTGCAGAGGTCCCCAACCTCTGGGATGTATGTAATGCCTGATAATCTGAGGTGGAGCTGATGTAATAATAATAGAAATAAAGTGTATAATAAATGTAGTGTTCTTAAATCATCCCCTACTCCTGGTTCGTGGAAAATTGTCTTCCATGAAAACAGTCCCTGATGCCAAAAAGGTTGGGGACCACTGCCATAAAGTACATAAATTTACTAAGATTTTCAACTTAAAATTACCAGTCAGAAATAAGGTATTCAATTATACTTTCAAAATTGAGGTTACCATTAAATAAGCCAAGTTATTTTAAACATTATAAAACCATAAAATATGTTTGGCCTCCTTCACCTTTCCTGTTAAATGAGGCCAAGACTCAGAGTGTCCCGAAAGGAAAATCTGGTCCAGTTATTATAGCTCCGTCAAGACTGTCGCTTCACTGGACTTCCCTGTTGATTCAGTGGTTAAGACACTGTAGGGGACGTGGGTTTGATCCCTGGTGAGGAAACTAGGATTCCACATGCCACTTAGTGTGGACCAAAAAAAAAAAAAGACTGTAATTAAACAAAGATGAATGATCATCATGCAGTCCACCTGGTGGTGGTAGGTGTTGAGTAAGCCATCTGAAGTATCCGGCACACCAGGCTGATTTTGTGCTTCACCCTGAAGGTCTTCCTCCACGCAGTCTTTGTGATTCCGTCTTGTTCTCCCTGTGTGTTCCATTGCAGTGTATTTCTAGCATCTTTTTTTTTTTTCTTTTGCCTCACCATGCAGCACGTGGGATCTTAGTTCCCTGACCAGGGATCGAACCTGTGCCCCCTGCATTGGAAGACAGAGTCTTAACCGCTGGACCACCGGGGAAGACCCTATCCAGCATCATCTTTATCATGTTTTATTCATATCTTTTGTCTAGTTGTCTTCTATGCTAGATTTTACATTCTGTGTAGCCAGATACTATTCCTTTTCAGTCACTGTTTAATCCCCAGTGCTTAACACATAGCAAGTGCTTAAGAAAGGAAGTGCTACAGTTTTTGGGGTGACCACTAGAGCAGCCACATAAATGTGGTTGCTGCTGCTGCTGCTAAGTCGCTTCAGTCATGTCTGACTTTGTGCGACCCCAGTGCGGTTGAGGTAGGCCCTTTTGGATTGCCAGGTGTAGACATATATCTACAGGTCCCTCGGTTAATTGAGGGACAAGAATATGACAGTATCACAGCCGCTGCCCAATCAGACTCTGCAGAGCTGGCAGGCCTTTTCACAGTGGCTGGATGGACGGTGGGGACGCAGGGCAGCTATCAAGCCTGGTCACCATCCCTTTCTTCCACTGTGGAGGCTGCCTTTCTAAGCTCTTCTCAGCTTTGGCTTCTGCTTACCACTTTTTGTTTGGTGCTTTTCCTGCCTTGTCTATCACTAACCTATCTGTTGACTCACTCTGTGTGTCTCATACTCAGCTTTCCTGAGAAGAGTACTTAATTGGTTACAATCTTCAGGTATAGTTGCCAGGTCACATCCATTTCTAGCCATTTCAAGATGTCTGATTTCTTATTCCTCTAACTGAGCTCAGAATGGCAAGGTCATGTGCTTTAAAAGCCTGGCAGCCTGTGCTTAAGTACTGCCTGCAGCAATGGACCAGCGGTTCTGTGTGTGTAATAAGAATATATTTATTAACACAGGAAAATATTTGCAGCAAATTCCCTAGTGATTAAAGTAGGTTATGAATCAGCATTTATGATAGAAAACCATTTAGTGAAGAATAAATATGTGTCTACTTGTATAGAAAGAACAATAATATTGCAGGTGCCAAGCTCTGTTTAAGCGTTTTGCATTTGTTGCCTCGTTTCTTGACCATACCTGATGAGGTAGTAACTGTTATCATTTACATTTTATAGGTGAGAAAAAAGTGAGATTGAGTAATTTGTGCAAACTAACTGTGCCCAGCTAGATGTGCTCAAAGTGAAATTTGAATCCAAAACATCTAGTTTTAGCACCCATACTCTTAATGCCTTGGAAGAATGTCCACCAGATGTTCACAGTGGTTATCATTGGGTTAGTGCTTAGATTATCAAGTTTTCTGCATTAAACATATATTTGTTCCTAGAAAAATTTTCTGAATAAACATGAATGTAATGAGGTTATTAAGTCAGTTTTAGGTACGGTGAAACTCAACCTGCTCTGAAACTTGATTCAACTCAGCTTAAAATTTTTAGCATATTGCCTGAATCTCAGAAACAGATAAGTCTGTAGCACTTCA